ATTCTGATTTTGACATCTTCATCCGTGTCGTCCACCTGTATTTGTAACGATGCTGTTGCCTAGATACGTGAAGGGAGTGACGTCTTCTAAATTTATTCCGTTGATAGTAATTGGTACTTGTTGTTGGTTGGATGGATCTATTTACTAACAGAAAAAACTACGGGACTGGTATTATCTGTCAACGCATTGGAAAGTGGAAAGCTTTATTGCCTTATTTTTCCGGATCAGTATGTCTAAATAATTGTGGTGCGCGTAGTCTTACAATCGTTTAGTTCGGAAACTAATATAACTTTTTTTTCGTTTCCAGGTTGTTCGTGCTATATGCATTTTGAATCACCCCATTCCAAATGTAAAAAATGCTCTTTCATCACAAATAATCATTCCTCAAAATCAAGTTGGTCGACGTCATGGTATGTTAAAATAGACTGCTCTTTATATACACATCTTAATTGCAGATATATACGTCTCTTGTGTTTCACATCCACATTACGTTTGTCCGGAGAAATTCTTTATTGTTCTTGTGGCAACGACTGTAGAAACATCAAATCCACATCAAGAACTTCAACCTGGATTACAGTTACTTGGACGTATTGAGCATATATTTTATTCAGTAGCAGATTTATATGAACCTATCGACGATGGTAAATCAAGCAATGTAAGTTTTCAAATGTTGGTTTGCATGGATTTGATTGGTTACAAGATTTCATCATATGCTGACATCAGTTAGGTAACCATTGGAAAACCCGGAAGTACTGGACAGCTGCCTCGTCCTAGTTTGGAACTCTTCAGCAATATGCACTCGCCGTCACGGGTCGAACCCAGGACCTCCCGGTTACAAGGAGAGCTAGTAGACCATTAACCCATTTGGATCCGATCCAATAGCCATCCCGTAAATTCCAACTTCTGCTCATTCCCGATATAGCGTGACCACTGACCAATGTCATTGCTACTAAGTATTTCCCCTCACGCCCTACCTGCTGTACGCCACTGGTCACGAAAATACAGAATCTTGCATTCGCTAAATACAAGTACTATTGTCAATTGTGCCGTAACCTACTGAACAATACAGGTACCAACTTGCTATGTCTAATTCAAACGTTATCTCATGACCCCTCCACTCTTATGATTTTACGTAACTAGCTTTAGTTCATTGTCTAATTCTAGTTGTTATAGTATTAGCTCCTTTTGTCATCTGTAACAGATTTCTACATTAATTATATCTGGACTAATTTACATGTAAAGTTATCAAGTAAGAATTCTCGTTTAGTCTGGATCAGAATGTATAAAGTTCCTTCCACATGTCACATAATTCTTCATGTTTACTGAAAACTTATGCACCTGTTCTAACATTGTTCCCTCACCCTTGCCCATAAATCTCAAACTATCAGGTCAGAATGTGGGACCACAGGTCAATCTAAGTGACACTCCAAATAAGTGGAGTGAGTTGTGCACACCATTTTCGATCTGTATCAGACGGTGAGTGTAAATCAGCAATACTGACTCAGAACGAAAGTAGTTATGTACATTGGATACTCAGTATAAACTCATAGCACACATGACCATTCTGCAGTAGAGAGAAAAGAACAAGAATCTCAACAAAGGTTATCTTTTCGTCGATTTTATCCTCAAAAGCCCCTTGTAATCTATACTCACACCTTTAATCTCCTTCGATATTATGTGGAATTACGTAGAAATCGTATCTGTGTAAACTTATGTATAAAAATGCAATTGTACAGTTGCTTTGGAGGATGAAATTGCCAAAAGATATCTTTATTATACTTCTTGTTCTTTTCTCTCTAACATCCTGTTGTAAGCAAAAGTCATCTCAAGCAAATAAGTACTTCTTTCATTAGGTGACACTGAACAACGTAATGAGAGACAAAGGTATTTGATATCACAGTACGGATATAGAGGGCTAGTTTCGCATATGCCAGTTTACGCGGTCTCTGGCGTAGACGGGATATCCGGCTATCGACCAAAGGGCGTGTGTACTGCTCATCAGTCTACTCTGTCCTCCCTCATGGCTATGAGACCTGGCCATCGAAAGTGGAAGACATGAAAAGGCCAGTTAACTGCCTTTGATCATATGTATCTGCGTTCTATCTCCCGTCTTAGGTGGTACGATAGGGTGAGCAATAATAAGGTTAAGCTTCGGTGGAGTGCTAGGTAAGGAGGAGAAATCAATAAACGGGGTTGTGAAGCAGCCGCATCGATTGAGATGGTTAGGATGTGTTACGTATGCCTAGCCATCGATCGCCTTCCTCGACAGGCAATGTTAGTTGACATAGGATCAGGTTGGAAGAGTCAGTTGTGGTCAAACCAAAACACGGCATCAGTCAATGAAATTCACAACATTTAGTTTAAGCCAGTCACTTAGGGAGGTGCAGACTTCCTGGTTGGGGTCCTCGGGACGGTAAAACCAATGGCTGGAGACAATTGGTGATATGGCTCAAAATCGTCAATGAAGCAGATGCATCCACTCCTTGTGACTTATGATTTCTAATGAAACTATATTGTTCTTCGTTATTACTATTCCTTTGTCTCACACCTCTGTTTACTGTCTCTATTATGCATTTCTTCTACTCTCTTCTCCTGCTTTGTGTGCTACATGGAGTGTGGCGACTTGAACTGCTGCACATCGGTGTAAAGTTCTATGTCGAAAACAGACAGATAGATTTGATATCACTTATGCGTTTTTGAGTCTTCATTGTAGTTTGTTATATTATGATTTGTACAAATGCTGTCCGATCGCCTACAGCAAATTCATTCATGGGATCGTAGGGATTCATTCCTCGAACTTTAAGTTCAACCCACTTTAGACGTCAAATTTTTATGTTTAACGCTGGTTCAAACAGGGTAATAAGGCATCTCAGACCTTCTATACACCTTTTAATTGTCTTTCTTCTCCACATTGTTCATTACAGTATTATTTCTTTATATGGTCTCTTTTGGGTGTGCTGATCCACAAAATGTCAACTTGAATGAGTGGAGTTCTTCCATCTAGGGTTTTTACGTTGATTTCTCTGCTGGAATACATCATTGGATAAAGCAGAGGTTTCCGCTGGTGTTGAACAACTTTTTTGGCCTTTTGAATAAAATTATTTTAGAAAGAAGTCATTAATGTGAATAGTGTTCGATATTCATTGAATGGTAGTTTAGTAATATACCTGTGCTAGTGACAAGGTTCTACTATAAAGTTGGGAATTATGGCAAAGTTGGACTATAATAGTCAAAACCACAGTGACCTTGAGCAATCAATCAGAATTCAGATACAGAAACGTCTCACAATCGTTGATAAATACACCAAAAAATATTGCTAACATGATATTGCGTCGTGTATTTGTAGCTTATGTGTTGTAAGAATGTCTTCCAGTCACTACACAGATGATCTATAGAGAAACTACGATGCGCGATATATCCATTCATCCAAGTGACTGTAAGTCACGGTACTTTGAGATTCATTGATATTTCTGACACTATTCTTCAACCTACTCCTAACTGTAACCATAATCCTAATTTTAACCCAATCTTAAACGCCATAACACTACCCAACAGTATAGATTTGCAGAGAAAGTACGTAGTAAATAAGTAGAATATTGTATCTATCCTCTCCAAGTCCAAAAAGGCAGGCATGATTTGATTTGGAGTGACATTTCATATTCCCTGTGTCTGATCGATCCTTGCAGGTCAACGTTATAAGGACCTTGACTTTGGCTATGATACTTTAATTTCTCCGGAATTATCCTTGTCCTAGTTAGTCGGTGGCACAGCGGTTAGGATGCTCGCCGGCCATGCACATGATCCGGGGTTCGATCCCGGACCGACGAGCTCCTTCACTTCACTGAGCCAGAAATAAAGCTGGTGAAGAGGAAAGCTTGGGCATAGGGCTAGCAACCCCTTCCTGTAAAAATAAACACTGCTACAGAAACTTCAAGCCTCAAGCTTGAAGATCTATGTTCCACTGGGAACGTGAAGGAATAAAAAATCCTTGTCCTGGAGTCTGTTTGTTAAAGTTCTATATTTTGGCTAATTAAATTATGTGATCGACTTCTTTACCGCTAGGTCTCAATGTCATAGTGTACACTCTTTCTGTCAGGTTTTGGACAGGCGGGTTGTGTCACTATCCCTCGTAAACACAGAATTCATTCATTACCCCAAATTCAAAAATAGACCAATGTATAGTACAAAAGTTATATATATATATATATATATATATATATATATATATATGATCATATTCATGAAGAGTTTTTGCCCTATGAAGTAACGATCCAGTTTATTATTGAAGATGAATTTGTACGCATTTGTTACTAAACTTATTTATAACTTATGGTGGTTTACAGCATTACTTTATTCCTTTACGTTCCCAGTGGAACATGGGGCTTCAGTCTTGAAGTTTCAATAGCAGTGTGGTTTTATTTTTACGGGGTAGGGTTGCTAGCCTCACGTTCAACCTTCCCTCGTTATCTGGTTTTAATATTTGTTAATGTAAAACACATAACCTGGTACAATATAGGCACCAAGAAAACGTGGCACACAATAAATAATAAAGCAACAATATATAAAGAAAGTAGGAGAGAATGAATAAAGGACATCATTCAGAAAGGAGGCAAGTACATTTGACAACATCAGACAACATTCGGCGTATTACTGTTAGAAAAGGAAGAAATAAGTAAATTGTAGCATGTTTTCCATTGACTGCAATTCTTGGCCATATCTCTTAACGTTTCGAACCAACCAAGTAGTTGCGATGTACCAACAGATGCTAACCCACGACGCCACATCATGGGCTAACTACCTCTCCACTTTTTTACTACCGGTGTAAGAGTGCGTCGGCAGGGGATCGAAACCCGGACCACATGAGGCGCGTGGACGACGACGCACAGCATAGTTTGTAATTATTTCCTACTTTCTGTATGTTCTCTTTTGCTGTGATCATCATTATCATTGTTGAATATCAATGCATACTTATTTCACCTAATTGTATTTCTCTCCTCTAGATATATATTTCAAAGAGTTATGATGCATCAACGCATTTTGAAAGTACATGCACAGATGTATTAGAAATGTATGAAAGAATCACTGGTCATCCATTTGACTTTAGTAAAGTTACAAGGAATCTAGAAGATGAATAATTATAACAGCTTTTTAATTGTCAATCATAATTTTCTTTTATTTAAAACAAAAAATACAAATATTAATCATGGGTAAATATAATATTCATTCTCTCATATATATACACATACACTTTGTGACATCTATAATAATAATAATTTATCTCAGTCATACGAGAATACTGTCTCATCTCGCCTATCTTCCATTCATACGTAATTATTTTGCATCCATTCCAATTGTTATCAGTGTTTTTATTCTCATCTAACGTCGTCGACTACTATCCGGTTTAATCACGGCCGTTTCTGTTCTGTAATCACTTTCTCTCAATCAATCAATTGCTTTCCTTATCCATCCACAATTTAAACCGGTTTTTCCAATCTTGACACCCACAATTGTGTTGTTCTCTCACTCTTTCCTTTCTTCCTCACTCTCTCTCGCTCGCGCACGCTAAAAACCACTTTCCCTTTTTCTCTTCTAATTGTTGTCTTCATATATCGTTGTTGTGTCACTTCGTATGTGTGTGTGTGTGTGTGCGTGTGATATTCTCATTCTCTGGAGGAAAATTTTTATCTCATATATAGTGATGAGATCATTTTGTTTGTATTCTACACTAATTCGATAGTGAGTGTGATACTATGACTTTGTTCAAAAATCTTTTGGTATACTTATGCCACAAATAAAACAAAATGTGTTGTTTGTTCTAATAAAAGGTTGAATATTCGGCTATCCTAACTTAACGTTTCGATCGATAGCGGTTGCTACCTTGACACGTGATGGTTGGACTTGCTTATCGAAATGACCCAAGGAGCTACACTAGGTAGAACTAATGCTCCTTCAGGTCCTACCAAGCCATGAAGGTTGTTTGGATGACGATAGTGTACGTCGTTTACACTACGACTTTGGGGAATCTGTGGGTAAAGTCGTAATGCAAGCGAATAGGGTTGTAACAGCAGCAAAGTGTTTCCCTCAGATGACCAGTTATGCGCTGCCTCTCCGGTCCGGGGAGGAGAGGTTAAAAAGGGTCGATCTCGAAAATTGTACATCCCGACTTATCTTGTGACTGTCGTCCATAGCCGACGGTAAGATCTTAGTACGGATGCAATTCCGAAATCTACTTCGAACAGGCCGTGTGTAACCGACGTCAAGCAAATGTCCCTCAGACTCTATGGTCACACATGACTAATACTCCTTCTGTTTCAGATACACCAAGAAGTAGTCAACCTTCGTAGTATGGGCAGCCAGGAAGTAACCACCACGTACAACACACTTCCATATGCTTAAAGTATATGTGCTGTGTATGCTCATAAATCAGTAGAAGCAACTAGTTAGTTATTGCTGCTGTATTGACTATCTGGATTAACTTACAAGCCTAGATTTTGCCTTTATCTCGTCAAGTTTGTTTAGATCTGTGTAATTTGGCAGTCACAATTGTAACTTTCTGGCTGCATGAAGAACGCACCTACTCAAGGAATATATTACTGAAATACGTGACCAATTACAGAATCCAACAATATACAATATTGGACGGAGGATTTCATCATGAGCTGACATCAGTTAGAGAACCACTGGACAACCGTTTCGTCCTAGTCTGGGACTCCTCATCAGTACGCACCCACCGGGGGGTTCGAACCCAGGGCCTTCTGGTTACAAGGCGAGCTCGTAGACCATTGAGCCACTGAGACCCAATCCAATGGCCCATGAGATCTAACTTCTCCCAATCCACGACATGGCGTGACCATTTCGCAATGTCTTCTTCGATAAGTTACTGCCTCATCTTCAACCTGCTGTACCTTACTGGTCACGGCTTCCCACTAGAACCCCAGGTTAACTGCCTGAATAGGGCCAGTCGCTAGTGAGCATCAGATTAAATTTCAAGTATTGGTTCTGTAGGGATTTTGTTTGATTGGATGGAGGATTTCATCATGAGCTGACATCCATCCAATCAAACAAAATCCCTACAAAACTAATACCTGAAAATTAAATACAATATTGTTTAATATTTTAACTGAGAGACTTTTCATTTAATTGTTATTTTCTGGCTAATATGTGTCAAATTGGATTTCATCAAGTGGACGATAAAGATGCTGTCGTTAAAATTAGCTAATAAAACTGATATAAGGATAAAACTCGGGCATTATGGTAGAGTACAACTCCATTATGGATAAAGTTATTTTGATAAATCACACAATGTTATACAGTAATATTAACTGATGACCACATTTCGTGGACAAATTATTGCTCATCATTATATCAAGGTACTCACACAACTCTCTTGTTTCATTTATAAACATGAGTAAAAATTGATTAGACATTTGAATAAAAATCAATCTAAGATAAAAATACATTCAGAAATAATATTAGTATTATCAATAAAATGTTTTTACAATAAAAATAAGTAACTTGTCATAATGTGAATTGAAATTCATTTTAACATTATTTATTATCCTTCTCTGATTTGACTGGTGGTAATAATATCTTCCATATCTCTAGTAATATTTGCGTTGAGTCACTTCCATTGCGCATGTGTTGGGTGTATTAACCATTTTCACTCTAGAAAGTATTAACTTGACAAAAGATCACATTTCAATATTAAGCGTAATTTCCAACACTTCTTTTTAAGGGTAACTAAGAAAGACAGTGTCCACAGAAGGTGGTAGGCCTATTGATGTGTCAGTTATTCGGATAAGTATAGCTCATGTGAATAATCCTTATCCAGACATTAATGACAACAAAACACGTAGTTCAGCGATTTCATTTTCTTTAGCTGTAGAGTCGCATTTGTATACAATTTTCTCATGAAAGAGGGTATTAACAGAAGTGATGAGTCATTATAATCATAGTTGTTAATATTAGTTAGTAAATAAGGGGAGTTGAGTAAGTGTATTAGAGTTACGTCATAAGATGAATAGTTTAATGAGTGAGTTATGAATAGCATGCACATAGAAACAAAGGAAAATACGGGATTGTGTAATATTTCTAAAGAAAAACAAGCAAATAAAAATCAAGTCAGTGGAAATCAACACGGTTGTTACCATGATAGTAGAAGTGGCAGAATAATTTTTTTCGTATGTATAACTGGTTTTTCCAACTGAATGGATAAGGCTTCAGCAATGCGACGAAGGCGTACGGCACTGGACAGGTTATTCTTTACTTTGAAGGAGGCGTCTTTTTGAGATGGAATAGCCAGCGTCGACAAGGTGATCGATTACATCATTCCTCACAGAGCCACTACTGTCTTTCTACAACCATATGGGACAGTGTTCTCGAACCCTTCTAGACAAGATACGCGTCGAACGACCAATGTCTGTCTGGATTCAACATAGAACTTGGCACCGAAAAAGTGCAGCAGTTCGAGTTGCCACGTTCCAAATAGCACACAGAGGTAGACAAGAAGATGAGTGAAGAGAATCAATAGAGTTTTGACAAGTATAAGAGTGAAACAGAATGAGTAATGGTAGAAAGGAATATGAAAGGTTAAAGAGACTGAATACATCTGCGCCATTGACAACGATTTTGAGCCATGTCACCTATTGTCTCCAGCCATTGATTCTTAGAGTCCCGAGGGCCCCAACCCGGAGGTCTGCATCTCCCTACCTGACTCAGTTTAACTGTCAGGGATTTCATGGATTGATGAGGCCATGTTTTTGTTTGGCCACCACTTACTCTTTTCCAACCTGCACCTATATCAGCTAGTAATGCCCGTTGGGGGAGGCGATGGTTAGGTATGCGCAACACGTGACCTAGCCATCTCAATCTATGTAACTTTATAGCCTCTTCGATTGATTTTCCCTCTTTGCCCAACACTCTGCGCCTAACGTCAACATTACTTACCTTATTATGCCACATAACGTGAGAAAGAGATCGTAGACATCTATGATCAAAAACAGTCAACCTTTTCATATCTTCAACTCGTATTGGCCGTGTTTCAGAGCCATAGAGAAGGACGGAGCGAAATGCTGAGCAGTACACACGTCCCTTGGTTGATAGCCAACCAATCTACCTGGCGCTATAACAACAGATGAAGTGACATGTGTACATGGAAGTGGTCAGATGCGATATATTGTCCTTAAGACTTCTGCGTACCAATGGACGACTGGAAAACACTACCCTCAGCGTTACTTAAAAGAATGTTTTTCTCAAAGGTGATGGAATTCTTCTCAGGTTAAGTTTTCCTTGAAATCCAAGTTCATATGAAGTTTTTGTTGGAACAAGTAATGTTTCGTTCCTCTTCTGAATGCAATTCCTCCAGGAACTGCGTTGCTGTTTTCGAATTAATCCATTCAAGAATTCATAATTAATCCAATCAGCGCTACTCACCTATTGGATGAATGTGTAATCAGATCGGCGTATGTAACTAGAAGTTATTAGCAAGGCGACTGTATCACCTTATTGAATCTAATAAACTGAGGGGATTGCGAGGAAAGTAATTTTGATTATGTACTGCTATCGGTTGAAAGCCAGCGAGTGCTAGATATATACCTATTGTCCTCATTCAGAACTTGTCAGTTCGTGCTATTGTACAAATTTTTCTCAACACATTCCCTGAGAATCTTTAAATTCTGTCTTTTCGTCACTTACTTAGGTGGTAATGATTGGAGGCGGTTCGTTAGTACACCATTAATTATTATTGTTATCACCAAATTTCTCAAATGACAGTCTTCCTAAGCATGATTTTATCTTTCCAAAGAGAAGAAACAGTTACATTTAGATGAAGGAGTAGGGCGTACGGTTAACAATATTACTGGTACTGATAAGATTTATCAGTAGTATATTTGTAAAGAGACGTTCATCGGCATAAAAACATCAGATAGTAGGGAGATTGATTTGATGTCAGGGAAAGCAAATGATACAGTGTTTGGGGAGATAGATGGGAACACAATATGAAGTGAGGCCAGAAGTACCACAGCACGCAAGATTTGTGCAAATGGTACGTAAAGATACATAAGGTGTACACAATTTGGCTACAAAGAGATACCAAATTCTAAATAAACATTCCTTTACCAAGTCTCTCGTCTTCTACCGTTACAGTATAAACGTCTTTTCGACAATAATAACCAAGTGTGTGTTGGCTAACAAACATTTCACTACCTTCTTCGGAGTGGTTGTCTGAACAAAAGATATGTAAAGTATGTTAATTCCATCTAAGATTAGTATTTAGATTAGTACTATCGCCAATGATTTTCCTGATTACGGTAGATTGGATAATGCTACAGGCAGCGGCGGGCAGTGAGGAAACAGGCATAAAATGGACTCACACAAAACCTTGGAGGATCTGGACTTCGCCGATGATATATGTCTGATTTCCCACAAACTGGAAGATATGCAAGCGAAAAGCAACAAGTTGGCAGAAGAAACATCAAAGATAGGACTTCAGGTGAACATAGAGAAAACAGAGGTGATGAGGATTCCTGGACAAGAACAACAACAGACAACGATCAGCATAAATGGGAGGGACCTGAAAGAAACAACCTCCTTCACCTACCTACCTACCTGGAAAGCATCGTTTCAACTACAGGCGGATGGGACTGACGAGGATATCAAAGCAAGAATCGGAAAAGCAAAACAAGCTTTCACTACTCTCAAGTCTGTGTGGAGGTCAACAACACTCAACATCAAAAATAAGATCCGGATTTTCAACTCCAATGTGAAGTCAGTCAGTGCTACTATACGGATCAGAGACTTGCACTGCGCGTCATAAACAGCAGCACATCAAACAAACTACAGACCTTCATTAACAGTCGTCTTCGC